TGTTGTATTGTTGTATTATCCTTTAAGTTGTTGTATTGTTGTATTTTCCTTTCATTTGTTGTATTGTTCCCTTATCCTTTAATTTGTTGTATTGTTCCCTTTTTATTCAATCAAAAAAGCATTAAATTAAATGACTATTTATTAAAAACATTTGAGCATCATAACAAATATTAATTCAAAAAAACCTTCATTGATTGCAAACAACACACAAAACAAACCATACATAAAAGCATAATAATAAAAAGCATAATTCCAAAAAAAAAAAAACCACACACAAAATAAAACATAATTAAAAACAAAGCATAATTCCAAACAAAGCACTAATCTTGACTTCATCCATTGTGATTGCCTTTCATCTCCCACAAGTGCTCGACCAAGTCACCTTGACGTATCTCGTGAACATATGAAGAAGATTGCATTTCTTGATACCGATCAATCATGGGGTTTTTGAATTGACCCTCCCGAAGTAAGGGTTCGGGCTCCAGTGGTAGTCCATTTGGTCCAATCGGCCTTTCATATATTCTTGTCAACGATGTGTTCATTGGATCGGGTTCAAACACCTCTTGAGCATCATAGTCATACTCATCCTCCACAATCATGTTGTGAAGGATGATGCAAGTCATCATAATACTCCGCAGCACCTCCTCATCTAGCATCCGAGCAGCACCTCTAATAATTGCCCAACGAGCTTGCAAGATACCGAAACACCTCTCCACGTCTTTCCTGTAACCTTCTTGAAAGGAAGCAAAGTTTCTTTCCTTCTCGGATTGGGGATTCGGAACTGTTTTCACGAATGTCGTCCACCTAGGATAAATTCCGTCGGAAAGGTAGTACGCACCAGAGTAAACGGTATTGTTGATTTGGTACGTGACCTGGGGGGAATGACCTCGCAGTACCTCATCGAACACTGGGGATTGACCAAGGACATTGAGGTCATTCTGAGAACCGGCAACCCCGAAGAAGGCATGCCAAACCCAACAACCATCCAACAAGCACCTCTAATAATTGCCCAACGAGCTTGCAAGATACCGAAACACCTCTCCACGTCTTTCCTGTAACCTTCTTGAAAGGAAGCAAAGTTTCTTTCCTTCTCGGATTGGGGATTCAGAATTGTTTTCACGAATGTCGTCCACCTAGGATAAATTCCGTCGGC